AAATGACATGAAATACACATTTCATTTGATTTACCTAAGTATTTGATACATTTATAACAACAAATTTCAAACAAACTAAAAACAGAAACAATACAGCACGGTTGATTAAATTGTAAATTTTTAAATTATAACCCATTATTTAAGTTTGACAGTTAAATGTTTGAAGTTGAGGTACGTAAATGCAATTGCTTCAATATGTAACAATGTATAGATATAAATTATATTTTTCAGGGCCTTTGTTGGTCGGAGGCCTGACCCTATTACCTATTAGTTCGGGAAACCTGGGCTCGTGCCCTTAATTGACCTATTTATTATATTCGCACTGCAGTATAACATAAAGATCCCTTAAACAAATATTCATGAACACATGAATACACTAACATATGTAACACGTATAATCAATTTACGTGTATTAAATTTACGTGAATACAAGTTTTTCATTCTCGTGTTCACGTACGTATTAATTCACGTTTTCAATCGAGATCTCTAATACAATTCCATATAAAATGTAAATTTATAATACATATTTAAATGTTTGCACAAATGAATAAGAAGTGAATAAGAGATTGAGACATGAATGTTTGTGTGTGTGTGTGTGTGTGTGTGTGTGTGTGTGTGTGTGTGTGTAAGTGTGTAATGTCGTGTAGTATGTACAAATTTCAAAGTTCTTGAAATACTTGTAAGAAATGCTGATCCCAAGCCTGCAAAGGAATCTATCACTCCATTAAAATTGAAGCAATTAAAACGGTTTGTAAATATTTTAAAGAATTAGAGCGAAACTTCTAGTCCAAGTTATATACAGAGTTGATAAATAATATTGTTGTATTAGCCTTTTAAATTTAACCAATATATCATAACTCCTATAAGAAATGATTTTGAGTAAAAGAGGTCGGGTAGATTGGTTTATATTTTAGAATATTGTTGATAAAGAGTAACAAAAATTTTAAAAATATCCAGTGCCTACAAACAACAAAAATTTCATTTGAAATAAAATTTTAAATATTTCGAAATCATAAAATATCTATACAATTATAATTAACGTACATAGCAAATGATTTAAATCGCTAAAAAAATAGTAAATATTAAAAAATATCGTTTCACGCAGAATCAAAAAATAGGACTAAATAGTTGTTATAAAATTGTAAATATTGTTATTTACTGGACCGGCTTCAAATTTAAAAAATATCAAAACATGTTTGATGAACTATCTTTCCTGAATACGATAAAATGATGATTTTCGAAGATAATCGGTTAGTCACCTTTATACATACGTATAGTTTGCAATAAATAAAATCGTCAATCCTATATGTTTAAAAGGAAACACGTGAAAAAAAAAAAATAAAAAAAACAGAATAGGATTTATTAACAAACAACTCTTGTTTTTCCCTGTGTGATGTTTTGAATACGAATCGCTTTTTGGATAGGTACATATTGTTTTTCGGTTCACCGCCGCCAGCGGTTTCTTGTATTGCGTAGTTACATATTTTAATAATATAAACGGCGCCCAGTGCAGAGCAGTCGAAACAGTTATAGAACGGAGAGATTGGTCTGGGGTGTACTGTTAGTGCACCGTTGTACGTATGCACAAGTATACGGTAGGTAGTGCAATGAATACTTAAAACAATCTCACGTTACTGTCCGTCCCTTCACCCTACTGGCGCGTGCATTTCCTTTATGTTTTCCTGCGAGAAAACGCGATATCCGACGGCGGTAAAATCGGACGAATTTTTTATCGTCACGTTTTCTCTTTCCTTTTTCTTTTTACAGCGTACGATTTGATTGAATTTTATTTTACTTTATTTTTTTATTTTCCACCGCTTTAATAACGGTTTTCTCGAACCGGTAAAACGCAAAACCCTCTTGTGGATTATTAAAAATTCGAAACACCTGTACTACGTCATCGTATAATACTATTGTCCCTACCCCGAACACACTTGCACACCGACCGGTATTTGATGACTCGGACACGTTTGATCTTCTTCCAACGAGCTGAGCGAAATACGATTACTTTTAAACACGAACGAGATATTATGATTTTCAATTATAATGAGGCGTATATTTTTCAGTTTCGCAGAAACAATAACACTTTGTTTACATTAGCTGGTTAAAAGTTTCGTAGGATTTTCAACACCACACGTTTGGAGCTATACATTTCAGTTTTATTTTTTCCTCTCCAAAACTCAATACTAATAATATAGGACTTGATATTAATTCCAAATAATTTTTCCCGAGTTGATTTAGAAAAACGTTTTTTGATTTTATCACCTAAGTGTTTTATTTTTTTGTTATGCCTGTTCAACGAGAAGGTATTTTATTTCGACAGAATTAAATAGCCGCGTAAAATTCTTTCGGGATACCGGTTATCCGAAAAATGTACTTACTCTGTGGAAGCAAAATTCCTGATTTCTGCGTTCTATTTATTTAAGATGGTTGCTAAAGCATGAGCATTCGGGGCATGGCTGTTTTCCCCGGGGTCAAAGCTATAATTTTTATGTAAATTTTATTCTTGTCGTATACGAAATACGGTATATATTGAGTTATGAATGTTTCGGATTTTATCGGGCCATTAATCGCGTACAACGACGTAGACAGTACATTTTCGAAAAGCATGTAAGCATGCAAAAATATAAGACGATCTCTAATTCGAATTTTTGAATCCACACAAAATGCTATAAAAACCATTAAATGTTTTAAGAAGTAAAACAAATGTCTTTAAAATTAAAAAAAAAAAAAATGTTAGCTAATGATTTATAATAATTCCAGTTTAATTTTACAAGTGTTTTTCAGACAAAAATGTAAATGCAGTATTAAATAACTTTCCGCTTTTGCATAATATGTTTCATTTAATTTTAAAAACGTACATATTTGAATACACGACATAATCCGTGAAAATGATCTGTCATCAACAAGTGGTTTTCCGTAGTTTTTAATTAATTTTTTTTTATTTACTTAACCCTCACTCTGTATTAACATTGTTTCGAAAACTATTCGTTGTACGAGTACGGTGGCGAAGAACATTATAAGTTATAGCCATTGAATTAATAAACTCCTATAGATAGTGTAATCTTATGAGCACTTAAAAGTGCATTAAGCTTTTTGTTGATCTTAAATACCTTATATGTTATTTTCGTTCATTAAGTTTTTAAAACTTTAAACTTAATGTGTTTATAAGGAATCGTTTCTACGAAATGTATCGAGTTTTTGTTGAAATTATTATCCCTTCTTAATAATTACACACACACACACACACACACATTAACGTTTAATTCCTTCTCAAAATTTCACTTCTGGTATTAGTACTCTGGTGACCTTTGTAGATCGAGGAATATTCGGTTTCTATGAGGTGCTCGGAACTTATGACTATAAATTAAATAATTATCGTGCTTAATGGGCTATAAACATTGTCATTTCCACTGAGCACAATATCTACCATGCATTGACTTCAGCCGCGACATGTTCGTAAGACAATATAATCCGACCAATGCTTATACAATGGTTTTTCACGGAATACGTGTTTAACTATTCTATCGCGATTTACCAACGGTAAATATTTAAAAACACAAACTAGCTCATAGAATAATTATTTATCCTTATATGATGTAAATAAACACTTTTACCGGTTTTTTTTTTTTTTATAATTAAATTTATACTAAAAACAAATGCTTCTGTGTGATATTAGAACGAGTGAGAAAGAAACAATCAACAGACTATCAGAATATAACATTTATGTTCTAATGGAAAGTGACATGCGACATTTTGCTATTACGCGTTGAAACACGTTTTATTATTTTTGAATATTAATACTAAAATTTATATTAGACTAAAATATCCCAATAAGATTTATGCGTAGGTATATAATTTATATTTTGTTCATATATACATTTTTCTTGAAGAAATAATTTATGCTTTTATAGTCATTGGACGTTGCGGCTTTTTTTTTTATTTTTATTAGTTCTTCGAACTCGTCTTTATTGGTGATTTTTACTGCAGATTATGAATACGATTTGAATAATATGTTTAAGTAATTGTTTTTTATAATGATTAGTTATCTATCAGATTATATGTCGAAACCATTTGTTGGAAAAATAATGTTTCTAGACAAAACGATTATCGATCGGTACCAAAACAGTGATTTCTCGATTCGACGTCGTATCATAATTACTGTTGTTGTTTATATTACTATTATTATTAAAATTATTATTAAAGGTTTATTATATTACAACGTAATTGTTATTAGTTTGGGTTGACATAAAACTGCGAGGGGAAACTATTAAAAATTACTACTTATTCTAGGAAGCAAGAACTTAGGGTAATATGAATCATCAGGGAATGATGATTCATAATGAATATTACATGAGAAGATCAAAAGTTGAGAAGACGACTTGTATCTGTTGTTTGATAACCGGGGGGGCCAAAGATGAGTGAATAAGGATAGTTTAGAGAAAAGGAATGAAAGTTGAAAAGGAGTTGGTGGAGATTGCACAAGTCTTCTTTTACGTGTTGGGCATAATAGGAGGAAATGTTAAAAAAAAAGGTGAAAGGAACGCGATGGGAGAATTTAATGGCCAAGCAGTTGGTAAAAAAAGGAATTAGTACTGAAAATTATATTATTTAGGACTTTTCGTCGTTAGACATGATGTTACGGTAACTGACAAAATGTGAAATGTGACCTTTATCGTTGTCGACAAACATACGCTTGTAACTGATAGGGCATCGATGTTTTATTATTTACCACACAATTGATTGCCCGAACATTTTTCTTAGCACTTACTGAAACAAATTACGGTCATTGCACGGGCGGTTAATACTGTTATTGTTACATTGATAAACGGACGGAAACGCGAACACCCGACTTTTTGCGATTTATTTTACTCAGTTCTTGTAGTTAAACGATATTCGTACACTACATGAGCTTATATTTCACGATCGATTCGAATACGTTACAATAACAAAACTACTGATTACGATACATAAAGGTAAAACACAATGTCGTCGCTTACCTGCAACAGCAACGAGACGACGACGATGCCATGCGACCTTTGCACCGCGTCCGAGTAGTTGGCGAACAGTTGCGAGTTAAAACTGAATATCTGAAGCTGCAAGAAAATAAAACAAACAGAATTTATCGGATTCGACACTGCGATTAATGTACACATATTATGTTATCGCGCAGTCGAGTACAGCTAAAGAGGGTTGAAATTTTATGACTACCACGTCTAGCGCATCAGTCTGATGGTTTTTTTATCGTTCAAACCGTGATTTGAATATCCCGTGGTATAATTTTAATACCCACAACATTTTGTACGTATATCATATTGCTTGTTAGAGACTTACATTTGTTCAAGGTGATCAGACGTTGAACACACTGTTACACCATACTAGTGTGCAAACTAGATTCAAAAACGCTTTAGTAAGCTTTGTTTCTCAACCTATGGGTCGTAAAAAATGTTTAATTGGTCGCTAAAAAATTAGAAGTTGGTGTTTTAATGTTTTGATATAAAACTTCGAGTTTGAAATCGTATCATAACGTATTAATGAAACGTTTTCAATAAATTGTTATTCTCGGAAAACAAGAATAAATACAGAAATTTTGTAGTTTAAAGCTATAAACTTAATTTATCGATTTCGTTCACGGAAACAAATAAGTGTTTCGATAAGTTATTAGCTATGAATGAACCAGAATTTCTTTTTTTTTTACGTCAATTATCAACATTGAAAAATGTATTAACTGAACGGAACTAATTAACGGAACTGTTTTAAATAAGCAAAAAGAGTTTTATTTAACAATGGTAAGAGGAAAAATTGAATTGAGTTGGATGAGGGGCGTATTTCTTCAAACATTACGTCGATTGAACAAAAATTAAGTAAATATGGCTTTGGCTGAAGAGAAACATTGCGCCTAGAGCACGTCGGTTAAAATATTTTTTGGTCGTCGCACAACTATATCAGTTCACGCGCGCTTGGTTTTGGACTGGATCATCGCAGATCTCGCAACATCAATGAAATGCTAGGTCACACCCGAACAACGAGAATTTCGGTGTTTTTAAAACAATGCGTTTAATATTCGTAATTCCTATTCGCCATATTTTGCGTTGTGTATAGCGAAAATATAATAGTATCAACAGTATCACATCCATTGCGGCTTGTCCAATGTTAATCAGTTGCGTCTGACACGTCCGAAATTAAATGCAAACCTGCAAAAATTATGTGACCTTTTCAACGCGGTTGGTGTTTGCGTCCGATGCGTCCTTCGTCACGTCGCACGCACTCGCCGCAGGATTTCAATAACAATTTGTTTGGTTTTTCGGCGCATTCGATACAAAAACCGACGGACAAATTAATTTCGATATGCATTCAATACAGCGCTCGTCGGATGCCATTCGTATATACGTTGGACTCGCCGTTAATACGTTCCTATAAACATTATTCGATCCCAGTTATCCGTCATCATAGTCGTTCGAGTGTTTATGACGTATTTCTTCTAAAACTCGTTTCGCGAAGCATCCGCTCTCTGAATTGTTGACGAACTTTTCGCGGTGACGTTTGGATTAAAATCGACGCAGGACACAGTTGGAAACGATGAAATCCAAATCGTTCGCAGTGGACGATTACACGGTGCACAGTGCAATGACACTGTCGATCGCGTTACGATAATAGTACTCTACAATGATCATGCGCACACGGTCGGCCGCTGTCGAAACATAATAAATAATCCGTAATCCGTACTCGGATATTTGGGACCAGCAAGTTAGCCCGGAGACCACTTCGCGTGTACACGTTTTAATATTTAACAATCCCCCTAATCATACCCATGTCTATTTGCCTGCACATTAAATATATACGAGGTAGCCCACGCCGAGTCATATACTGGTGATGATATTTTCGACCAAAGCAGATGCGACGACATTTAGTTTCGGACGCGGAGGAATAGATTGAATTTTATGGGGTTGTATGATCTGTTGATAATATTTCACGTGTTATCTTAAGCCTTTACATTTGCAAAAAAAAATTTCATGTCAAAACGTATGATTATAACAATATGTAGTGATCAGGGATTGTAGCACTTGAAAACACAATAATGAGCGCAGACTGAACTATATAGCTAAATAACTAAATAATGTTTTACGAACCTTATGAATCAATTAAACCAATAAATAATTGTAAATTAAAAAAAAAAACCCACAAATACTTTGATGAAATTTGTAGATTTAGCTCAAGAAATTATTAAAAACTTAACCATTCAAAAACCACATTTCAGAATAATAAAATTTAAAATTTATAATTAAATTAATGATCAATAATGTTACCATCAATACATATTTTTAAAAATGCTCAATCAATTTAGAATTTATAATCAATTATATAATGAACTGTTATCAAAATGGTAAGGATTTTTAACTGAAAATTTAAATATTTTTAAGGTAATAAATATGATAATTATTAAATAAATTTAATGTACTTAAAAGAAAATAATTTTTTTGTGTTTAAATCCTTGTTTATATTCCTTAATTAATACAATTTTAAAATTTCAAATATTTCATAGGTATAAATATAACTGTTTATGACTAACATTATCAATTTCATACAATAACTATTTATTTAAAAATTTTCAATTATACTTCTTTCTATAAGAACACGAACATTTTATTAGAAAATATTATTATAATAATAATCATTATTATTTTATTCAAACGTAAATATGTTCCCCGTTTCTCAGGAATACTCAAAATACGATAACCTGTATACACTACGAACTTATTCAACATGGATCAGTTGCAATTTTTGTTCGCATGCTACGAATTGGGGTAAGGGAGAAAACGTCGATTCGGAAGGAAGAGCGTCGCGGACGGGAAAGGGTTTTGGGAATCGTATTCGGAATAAAATGTCTGCGTAAATCGACGTCGTTACTAAAATGATATCGCAGCTTACTTCTGCCGGAAACGAATAGCCGTTGATCGAGTGCTCGGAGCCCATTTCGTCCTGCTGACCGTAGTGTATGTGGATCTCGTACACTTGATATTTGTACGACAACGGTCCACCAGTGATGTTTATGTGATTTTTGGTGCCGTTCTCCAAGTAGAACATGACGCTGTGACCGGTGTTGCATATTATGCCGTCCACCTGTGTGAAACGGATACGAGTGTTATACACGTGTTAAAGATGCGCGAAAACAGTCCCTTTTTTTCTCCCAAAAATTAATAATATTAATACACGAATAGTTAAAAAAATAATTTTTTTTATACAAATGGAATAGTTATGTATAGAAATAAATAAATGCTTAGCCTGGAGTATTATTATAATTATCATTATTATTATTGTTATTATATTTGTAAAGTACGACCGGTTTTGAGTTTAAAATTTATCGTCAGGTAAATGCAAAGTTAATAATATCGCAACTGAATACGAACAAATCAAGGAAGAAATACTTCGAGAGAAATTGGTCTTTTTATTCATTAAAAAAATATTTTTCATGGAAATAATTATTAAAAATACAGCGAATAACACATTTATGTGATATATGCTATTAGCAAAGGACCAATTGTCCTGAATCGTATTTATTATGGAGAAACGATTAGGGATTTAGTTTTTATATTATCGATTGCTTCGTAACGGGTGAAATATTTTTACAATTGGGATACAGTGCGTATAGTTTTATAAGGCTCTTATGCTTGTTTCTGTTTTATTGTACTCGTCTTCCTTTGCTTTCCTACTATATATGTGGTTGGTCACTCTCATTCCACATTTCTATACACAGTCTTATCTTACGAATCTCTTTCATACAGCTATTATATATGTCACCATTAACTGCTCAGTCTCCTTCGTCTTACATTTATTTTCACCTACCCCGTACCTTACACCCACATATCATCTCAACTCAATTCAAACCGTCTTCTCTGACAATTCGTTATTATGTACCGATCCTAAACCATCCGCTACATACACACATCTACTAACTTATCTTCTCTTACCGCTCTATTCATCGGCGCTCGTGTCCACTGCAACAGTTTTCCTCTGTTAAGTTTTTTTTTTCTAGTGCCCGATTTTGCTTACCACACCACGCTATTCTCTTCTTTCCATCCTCCCCGAAACCACAATTCCTTTGAACTTACGATACGGAAATTTTATATTTAGTCCGGTAAGAAATCTTAGCGTAGACCGGGGACAAATCAGAAACTCACAAAAGTTTTCATCGTACTAAATCGTTTTACCCAAGACGCTTGGATAAGAAGACCTAACGAGACGAGCGTAACTCACCCGGTGTCTGTCCACGTGTAGCTCTGTCAAGTTGGGATCGTAGAGCAGTTTTTCCGGGTCCAAATTCACAGGAGACTGTCGTCGGCCCTTGTTGCATAGACTCCACTCGGGGTTAATTAAACCCCAGAACGCTGGTCCTGGAAAACATATGCACGTCGTTTATATTATCAAGAAGCAACTAATTACCGTTTTGATAGAAAGGGGGGGGTAGTGGTTGTTAAATAACGACGCACGTTTATGTGTTCACGTGATAATAATAACACTTATACAGTTACGGGTAGGTAATGTGTTAACCACCCCCTACCACCCCCACCATACATATGTGATACAAAGCGGTCCTGTCAAGCCGTTCGGGTTAATCTGCTCAAACTTGCAAGACGTATGCCTATTTGTATTTTTAAGCACAATAATTAGATTTAGTTTCAAAACATAAACTCAGTAGTGGTGTGTGTCCTGGGACGATTTGAATATTATGGACACCATTGAGATTTGTTACTCGAGCGTGCATACCACTTATACGATGATAATATTGAAATGTCTAAGACGCTTATTTTTAACATATTATTTTTTATTTTCACGTGTGTTGCTGTAAGATTTTACACAGTTTGTTCAGCCATATTGAGTAGCATTTTTGTTCGGTCGATTATTCTATAGTAATGTTAAATTTTTCGATAGATCCTGGTTATTATTGCATATAATCTAACTTCAAACCCTTTGTAAAAGGAACTAAATGAAATATGAGAACGCATTGAAGTGTCCATGAATAAATGTAACAAACAAAGGTAAATACCTAAATGTACCATAAAACCTTTTCCGACGAATGTCCAGCGATGTAAATTTTTATGGATATATAAGAAACAACATTTACTGGTACTTAATGATACGTTTTGTGGTGATTCATTGTGAAATTCCTATTCGTCCTCGTATTCGAACAGATCAGATTTATTTGGACGAGATTTGTTTCTTGATAAAATTAAGTTAATCAATCAATTTAGGTTTTTAATATTATATTACGTACGAGTACGTGACTGGAGTTTATGCGGTTTTAGTTTGTACATTTAGAACCAGTCGTTTGTCGAAAAAAAAGAAAAAAACCAACGACAAATACATAACACAAATATTAACATTACGATAAATCGAGAACTATTATCGAAGTCGCAACAACTGCAGCTTGTACTGGTTATGTAATAGTACCCGATATATACGTTAAAATATCGTCGATAAAAAAAAAATCCAATATCAATGACGTTCCGAATAAACAGCTTTAGTCACGCATAAAACGTGTATAATATAATATTACCCTCCAACCCAAAACTGGGTTTTCACCACGTGCACATTCATCGCCAGAACTTCCGGTTCTCCCCATAATGTACACACAATGTATCCCACGAGGGTAAGAATATTTTTCATAACTTTGCCGGAAACCCTACACGCACCACGGTCGTCGAACGTAATATTGTAATTGTCGTGCTAATCCGCGGAAGGGTCGGAGACGGGTTAAGGGAATTATATATTTTTTTTCGTTTTTAATCGTTTCATATTGCGACTTCGATCCCGTGTAAGTGTTATGGCGTTCAGGGTCGAACTTATCATACCTACTACTACTGATACTAACGAGATAAAAAAAAAAACGAACCCCGCACGACCGTCGCAGTACCCGTATAAACGTGTTATATGTAAGCGTTAAACACACGCACCACAATAATGTGCATACGTAATTCTGACCGTACGACGATGTCCACGAGAGGAAGGTAGGTGGGATGCTTCAACGAGCGATAAAATTAATTATGATCATGTCCTTGATTTTTCGACCGTTTTCGATAATGATATTAGTACAATACAATGATTACGGATTCTGTCACGGATCTTAGCGGATACTGTAAGTGCACATCGGATGTAGAAGACCTAGGGGCAACGCTGCTTCGTAAAAACTGATCATTTTTATATTGTTGTCAATTTGCCAACGAGAATAGCGCACACGTCAATCGGTATTCGTTTTCTCGGTACGGATCCGTACGTTTTCATAACACTTGATTCGTCGAGGATTCCAAGATTGCGATAGAGCAGATACGGGAAATCGAGGAAATCGCAAGGGAGCGAAATCATACGCTGTGTGCCGTGAGCGTGACTCTTAGTAGCTTTAACCCTCCAAATTACTGCCAAGCCTTCCAAACGAAATACAAAGGAAGTTATAAGAAATATAATGACTTTTTTTTTATCAATTTAATAAGAGGGCTTAAGCACTCTTCGAAAATTTGGAATATTTGTACCTGTGCACCGCTAACTTTGTAAACTCTCTATGCGCCGGAAAATAAAAATTAAATATGTAATATTTAATGTTCAATAAAGTAAAAATGTACTTAGTTTATATATAAAGCTTATAATTATATTCTTTTCGAAATATAATACGATAAATTTAATCGATTTCTAGTTTATTTTAAATGATTTCTTTGTTTTTTCATTCTATTTAATAACGGAAACCTCTTTATAAAGGAAAAAATCTGTTGGTTCCGAGATATTACGTTACAAGAAAGTTGTATTAATATGATAACGTGTTATTGTAAATCACGAAAAATAATCGTTCAGCGGAATTTTAAATTACGTGTAAACCGTGTGCACGTTGCCTGATAGATGGATGAGTGATGGACTTTATTCTTGTTGAATTTTCACGAAAAGTTCAATACTTCTTTAAGAAATGATGAAATAAAAAACGTCTTTGTTCATCGCCAGCGTCTTTCATTCACCTCGCATCTATCACATATATTTATATAATATTATATTATTAAGAGTAAATACACATAAATCGTGACGTTTTTATATATACTTTATGCGTCAGAAAATATTAAACACGCCAATAATGGGCGTGCTTACTTGAACATAGATAATTTATTCATACAAGGTGTATTATACAAAACACTGTACGGGCATGTTTCTTTTCATTGATATTTTTGAAATGACTTAATCAAAATTTGTATTTTCACATTTTTAAAAAATCTGTAATATATATATACATATATAAGGGCCATATTTCCCATTAGGCACGATTGAAAACTGCCTATGGCTTTCATTATTAAGGGGCTTCAGATTTTATGTGGACTTTATTTTTTAGTCAAGATATAATAATAATTTATATTAGAATTAAAAATATAGAATTTTCACCAAATAGGTACATAAAGTATATAATTCGATTGCAGTTATTAACTCCCTATCAGTCTAATATTACAGTAATAGAAAATGTAATATGAAAAGTAATATAAAAGGTCATTGACAATTGTTATCATTCTGAAATTATAAATTATATGAGATGAACATAAAACAAATATTTCCAAGTATAGAAACCATTTTAAGAAAATTAAGATCAATTCCATGAACCAACTATTGTAGTGAAAGATAATTTTCTGTATCGAAGAGAATAAAAAGAAGTAGATTATCAACAATAACTCAAGAAAAATTTTATAATTGAGGTTTACTATCAATAGAAAGTGATTTTACATCTACTTTAAATTTTGATAATGTAATTAATGAATTTGATTTTATAAATAAAAAAAAAAACATTTTTTTTTCTATATGAATATGTACGTGTATTAAATAGTACAGGAAATCTATAGGGATAGAAAAAATTGTAATTGCGTTGTAGTTTTATTTGTTAAAATATTGAGATGGTTGATTAGCAGGAGCGTATCTAGGATAATTATATGGTGGTAATAATGGGTGGGGGTTTAAACCACTGGTGTGAGGGGAGTGAATATGTTATTTTTGACTATTAGTTAGTAGGGGCCACATTTTTTTTATTTTGCTTTGGATCTCAAAATATTTATATCAGGCCCATATACATATCTTATAAATTATTCTAGGACTGATTCTTATAAAAAAAAAAAAAAATTGGATTAAAGACATTAATTTCAATCAAGTATTTATATAGTAATGAAGTTATGAAAATGAAAAAATGTCAGAAAATGACAGAAAAGTATAAAATCTACTCACTAATTTTTTTCGTATCGCTATTTGTTTTTTTTGCTCGTTATTGTAACCATATCTATACCTAATCATTGCAGAGTAATTCAAAATTGTTTTTCAATCAGGGATACTTTCGTTTGGGTTCAAACCGAACCGAGTACGAAATGTTCTCTGTATCGCAATCACACATTCGACGTTTTTTAAAAATGCCTCGATAACGAAACCACGTTATTCACCGGACTACGGCGCATGGTGACGACTAAAAACCTTATTAATAATCTAATCTAGCGAAACAAACCACTTTAATCTAATCAGTTTGATTACGCATTAATGATTATTTGAAATATGGGAGTCCTTTATGCCGCATCCTTTATTATACTAAGAGTATCGTTTAAGACAAAAAAAAGATCGAAAAATTTCTGGAATTTATTATGGGAGCAGTTTGCCCCACCGGATTATAGATGTGTACGCGCGTCAATTGCTCCATCTCACCCTCACGATAATATTGCACTGTGATGGTACACAATACAAGGATTGGAATGGGTATGTATCTTGTAGATTTTAAACGTGCCACCGTCTATTCAAACAAATTCAATTCGAATTCTCTCAACCCATGTTTAATTGGCTTGAACACTGGTATTTATTTATTTATTTTTTGACTGCTCGCCGCTGCTGTTCGTTCTCTCGACAAATATTAATAGCTTCAAAACCATCTCTCTTCCACTTTCTTTTTCCTTCTCACGGACGTATAATTGGTAGAATTCATTTCAAAGACACTTTGCCAAAGATAAATGCTACGACATTATTCGATCTTACTATTATTATTATTATTATTATTGTTATCATGGTCATTATTTATGCGTGCGCATAATTTATACGGGACTTAATTAGTTTTTTTTTTAGTATGTTATCTTGTATTTCAATGCACAAGACATCACGTGTATACGTTATAATTGATTGCGGTATACCTACGCTGTTGTACGTATCTAATGAGAAAGACAGAATTGACGAATCGAAACTTTCACAGTGAAACGGTAAGTAAACCGGAGTAGTCAGGGGTCACCACTGCTACGACGATTGATTGACCCCCGAAAAAACGATAAAGAATGCAACAAAGAAACCAAGTCGAGCAAAGGTACCGTTTTGTAAACGTATACAAATGTTTATGAATTCACGTTTT